CAGCCCCGCTCCGCCGCCGCCGCAGCCCCGGGGTGCTGCGCGCTCTCGGGGTGGCCGGCCGGGCGCCTGGTGCGTTCTCGGCGCTCCTAGGCGCGGCGGGGCTTGTCGCCTTTGGGGCAAAGTGGAGGAAAGTGGGGGTTTAGGGATGCAGAGGGGGAGAGAGAGTTGCCCGCAGGACCTGCTGCCCCAGGGCGCACGCCTGTCCCGGAGTCGGCGGCGTCCCGGGGCCGCGGGGCAGGTGCGGCCGGGGCGAGGCGGCCCGGGTGCAGGGGCTGGGGCTGCTGCCGGGTCGGCGAGGCGTGCACAGTCCTGGCGAATTTTCCTACAAAGTCAAGACCCGCCGGTCCTCTGTGCAAGCGCACCCCCATCCCCAGGCCTCAGTTCCGCCTTAACGAGGAAGCTGCAAGTGGGACCCTCGGGTTGGGGCCAGGTGATTCCACTGAGTGTACCCGGTGACAGCGCGAAGGCGTGTTTTATGAGCTGGCAGTCAGACCACTCGCGCGCCCGCTTTTTATTTCTCGCAGCGTGTGTTTCTCTGGAGCCCGTTCATTGCTTACAATCTGAATTGCGAAATATAAGCAGGCGCAGTGCATGTTTTCAGTGCTTTCCATATATTTTGCTGTTGTGCTTTTGCTGTCGGACGACTTCTGATAAAATAGAATGACAACGTCGTTCGTTCGAATTTAGAACCTAAATTTAGAAGTGAATAATATGCGTTTAGTGATTTATGTTTCTTTTTCTGAATGTTAAAAAAAAAAGTTCCATTAACAGGTTATCCTAACAAAGGTTTCTTTAGCCCACACGTGTAAATCTGAAAAGGCACAGGACGATGAAATTATGTAAGCTGTATTGACGAAAAATAGAAATCCTTTTATAAACGTAAAACCAATGAATTTTAACATGATTGCGGTGTATAAAGTTGTAGGGCTTACATCACGGCTTTCATGATGGTGCCTTTCCTTCAGGCATCTGTGTCCTGTCTGTGGGATGGTAATTAAGCCATATGTTAAGTGTTTTCGGCCATAGAACATATTGACTATTTCAGAGAACACTTTAAAATCCAACAAAGGTTATGTATTTAATAATAACATAAAGGACTGCAGCCCTTAAAGGACTGTTAATAAAACAGATTTTTCAGTGTGAGATCTGGAGTTGAAAGTTCCATACAGCTTTGTCAGGATGGAGAAGATGACCAGTAACTTAAGCCACTGCCTTTCTTGTTGTTAAGAATTCAGATGTGTTAAGTGATAGTCACAGAGAGTGACAAGGTGTTAGATTGAAATTTTTACAAATGTGGACAGTGATGAAAAATATGTGTTACTTCTCTTGCTTTTTTAGGTAGTCAGTCAATCCAAAGGGCTTTTGGCTGTCCAGCCTCACCTCTCCTGTTTTGAGAGCATGGGGATCATTGGTTTTACTCTTGTTCTGTGCAGTTAAACTTCATTAGTGTGGAAACCCTAATTAAAAATGTATGATGACATTCTTCCTGAGTAAAATGCTCTTGTATTTCTCTTGCAGAATTTCAGGTCTTATTTGTTGGCAGAGTTCATTATAAGTATTTTCTTCAAACCAGAGATTAATTACTTCCTAGATCCAATATTTAATATTCCTTATGTTTTTCCCATTACCAATACTATATCTATAGTCTACTTTGATTATAGCGTTCATTCACTTTTACTTGTCTCTCTACCCATTTTTACTGAATTTTATGGGATTTATTTGTATTTAATAAAACTGTGTTTCAAAATAACCTTTATTTTCTGATTCTCTGCTTCTCTACTTCCCCATGATTATTGACTGAATGTCTACTCTAATAACCTGTATACTTTTAGTTCTTTTACCAGGACAGAATCCTTCTTGAAGTAAGGTAGGGCTAAGGATATAGCAACAGAAAGTTACATGAATTTTTATATGATGCCATAACAGGATTAAAATTACAAGTTACATAATTCACTGAGTTATCCCTTCTCTTTTTTTTTTTTTTTTTTGTGATACGCGGGCCTCTCCTGTTGTGGAGCACAGGCTCTGGATGCGCAGGCTCAGCAGCCATGGCTCACGGGCCCAGCCGCTCTGCGGCATGTGGGATCTTCCCGGACCGGGGCACGAACCCGTGTCCCCTGCATCGGCAGGCAGACTCTCAACCACTGCGCCACCAGGGAAGCCCTATCCCTTCTCTTTTTATAATCAGAATTCATTGTCGAGTGCTTATTGATATAAGACAATATATTAGGCACTTTATGGAAATGAGTTGAAATTCTAGGATTTCACCATGAAGACTGTTGACATGGATATGTTAGAAGGTGAATAACTTTGGTTTTAGAAAATTATCATAACTTGAACGTGAGAATATCTTTGGAGTTCTTTGTTTGCGGAGAGTAAGGGGAGGGGAGTTCAGTGCTTCTAGAGTATTATACCACAGAGCTGCTGGCCAAGGAGGATTAACAGGCTGCCTGGGTGTGAGTGGGGGTGGGGAGGGCCTAGCCCAGGGTACAGGAAGTGAGAAATTCGTTTCAAGTTTTAAGTTGAAACTTTGAAATTTCCTGTGAATTTTGCAGTTTATTCCATAATAGATCCATACTGGTTGTAGAGTATAATTATTTTTTTAAATTCACACTTAATCTGTTGGGTAAAGGTAACACCCCGGGATGATTCTCTGGTGTAACCTGAGACTTGGAATATCCCTGGCGCTTCTAGGGGCCCCCGTGCAGGTGGCCTAGTTTGAGAGGCAAAGCGTGGGAGATGAGGACTTGGACTTTGGAGTCATGCAAATTAGGGTTCTGTCTCTGGGTTCATTTTTTTGTGTGTAAGATAGGGTCAGCAATGCCTGCCTCACGGGAGTTGAAGATTGAAGATTTAGAACGTGTGAGGGACACATAGAAAACCCTCAATGAGTTGTAGTGTCTGTCATTCTTACTGTTAATCCTGTGCCCTAGTGATATCTTTTTTCACTAGTGGAGGTTTCTAGCAACATCACTTTTACAAACCAGCTGAGATGGTAGTTTCTGAATTGCCTACAAATGGCCGCTTTAATCAGCTGCCCTCTTCGCCATAGGGGATTGTCCCTTGGGCTTCCCAGGCCTTTTTGGAGGTGCATTAACTCACCCCACTGGAGTGTCACTTAGTGGATTGCCAAGTGCATCTCGTGGTCCCCCTGTGGCCACCAGGAATCAATGCGCATCTTGTCGTGCCTGATATGCCCTGAGGGAATGAGACCGGCTGGGCACAGAGCCGCCTGAACTAGTGACTGGCTGCAGGTTTTTGATTTGGTTTTATTTTTTAATACAGTTAACATTTATTGAGAACCTATTAGGTGCTAGGTGACTATGCTTAAGTACTTCTCAGGACATGATTTCATTCTGTTTTCTGAACTTTGCTAGATGGGAGGTGATCTCCAGATTTTTTTTCAGCTTTGCTAGATGGGAGGTGATCTCCAGATTTCCTGAGTTAAAGCAATGCTAAGTGATTAGTCCTGGGTCCTCTGGTATCCTGGTTGGATTGCCGCATTTTCTAAATGCTGAAATAGTCCCAGTTTACACCCGGGGAGTAGGTTAATCGTTGAAAAAATGACATTTATTTTACAATGATGATCAATAACCTTTTTATTATTTATGAGAACAGGAGGATCCAGGACAGGTAGTTTTCTCATGTTATGGATGAACCACAAAGCCAAGATAAGTGGCATGCCTGGAGTCACGCAAGCAGTGATGGAGCTGGATCTAGGACCTAGGCTTTTGACCCTCGTAGGTTGTAGTCTGTCAGTTTTCTTTAAAAAATTTAAAACATTAACTATTATTGTGCAACAGGAGGATTGCAGAGAGTGAAGATGATGTTACTTAGGAACCATTGTGTGATCATTAGAGTTCTCAGCTTGGAATCCTTGGCTTATTATGTAATGAACCCCACCACTTCCCCCTTTAAATAAGTAACCATAACTCTGTTTCCACAGGCAAAACAAAACCAATGGTTTTTCCCTGGGGAAGAACCATATCATTCTAGTGTATTAAATGTCATTTGGATATGGGAGTAATCTTCACAGATAACAGTTTAGCCCAGCCAAAAATCTGTTAATAACAGTGACTGATAAATGAAGAAACTAATATTTTGCATCACTGAGCAAGTTTTTCTTTCTCTCTTCCCCCTGAACAGGAAGAAAGAAGCCTGCAGCATCCACCTATGAAGACCGTGCAGACAGTCCTGAATAGTAATTGTGGATGGTGTGGCTGCCAGGCTGCTTCTGCGGAGTGTCTGAAATGAACTTCTCCTATTGATTGTTTTGATTGGTCCAGAGCCAGGAGTACTGGATTCACCTGACTTCAGGATAAAAAGAAAACAGTCTTGGTTATCATCATAAACATATGAACCAGTGTGATGGTGAAATGAGATGAGGCTCCGAAATGGAACTGTAGCCACTGTTTTAGCATTTATCACTTCGTTCCTTACTTTATCTTGGTATACTACGTGGCAAAATGGGAAAGGTAAGGAAACATCTCCAAAAATGTGCATGGCATGTAGTAGGTTTTTTGCTTTGTCAACGGTGCGTAGATGCTTGAGTTAAATGCCCCTACAAGCTGCATGTTGCATGCTATCTGCTGGCGGCCTGCCAGTTTCTTTCTGACGCAAAAATGAGGCAGTATTCTTGGACGGAGGAGACAGAATTTCTCATTTGAATGGGGTTTGTTTTGTTTTTGATTTCTTGTAATTGCACTTGGAGAAACATGCTCATCAGTGGTTTCTATTATAAATGGCAGCCAAGTCGAGTAATAAAGACTTTTGTTTGGGCATTTTATTTTTTATTATTAAACATCATAAATGTTTAACAAGCTTCCTTGTACCGGATGTTGTATAAAACGCTTAAAAGGACAGTCGGCGCCTCCATGAAATTTACATGCTGATTATACGAATGGTTTGGTGCTGTGTAGTTAATGCTTTAACCAGCATGTGTTGACAGATTGCTCTTTAGGCAAGAGTATTTTTGAAGTAAGTGAGGAGAAATGCTGATGTAAAAATTTTAAAAGTTTAAAAATTAGTTTTGTTTAGACTATCAAACTGTGTTTCTAAGGAAGGTTGTCTGTTTAGTGATTGGAAGTATATTCAGGGCTAATGCATTTCTTTGCTTTTATTGAAGAGAAAATATTTACAGTAAATTCCTACCCCTACTTTTTACCTGTCTCCTTTCCTTATATTAATCTAGGGAATATTGATGGCAAGAAGAATGGAGGTGAGTATTGTATTTGGTTTGTTAGAGTCAAGGTAGACTAGTAGTTGTCACTTGGTTATTGGAAGGTGGTGTTGCTGGCATTATTTTATTGACTTGTATGAAAGTAACTGAAAAGATGTGTTCATGACTTAATTTTTCTCTGTTGTGTGTATTGATATGTATATATCTGTGTGAGTATATGTGTATATATGAAATAAGTTGATGTAAGTGAAATAAGTGATATAAGTTGAAAACGTGTTCTGTGCTTTGAGCAAGTATAGTATTGTTATTGTTTTTCTCTTTTTCTCTGAGTTGGACTCTAATTTCGGAAGGAACTGTTTCGGGAAAATGAATGAAATACTTGCTGAAAACCTTTCTTCTTTGCAGACAAATTTATACATTTTAGATTTCATTTTTTAATCGTACCAAAAGGAGAAGACTTACTTAAGAAGAACTTTGAGTAGTTAATCAAACTATTGCTTGTCTCTGACATGAACAGAACAGATGACTGGCCTTAAAAGTCTACTTAGGAAATAAGAGAATTGACCCTAAAAAGAGTATATGGATTTTTTTCTTATCAGGAAACTTATCTATTCAGAGGGTTATAGTAACAGAAACTTGACCCTTTTTACTGTGTCTTATTTAAAGGATTAAAACTTTTGGAATCTCCATTCCTTTTATCTTGTTTCATATGTAAAGCTATTATAAGCATTATCTTTTTGTGTGTTAAGTTGTCTTTAGAATCAAAATTAATTTCAAAAAATATAACGATCCTTTCACCATGTAGTGTTAGAGATGCACACAAAAAGCCTCTTCTCTTTGATTATCACTCTTTGAACAGTCTATAATCCTTCTGTGCATACCTTTCTGCTCTGTTTTTTCTGCTTAGTGTTTTGTCCGGACTCCTTCAGGTATCGACAGAGGTCTCCTGTCGTGCTTATGTAAAATCCCCTGTGCTTTAATGCCATCGTTTATGTAACCACTCTGACTGCTGAGCATTTGGATTCTTTCTAGAACATTCTGGCAGTCAGCCTGGATTTTCCAGAGCCAGCCTCATTTCAGATGTTTAATTCTTATATACTCATAAACCACGTGCTCTGGTTTTTATATTGAAAACATGGTTTCTGTAATCACCGATGTTTCTGGACTCATAATTTTTATTTTTCATTCATTCATTGGTCCCTTTCATGTACCTGTCCTGTGCCTAGCACTGTGTTATATGCTGTGAATATGAAAAGGAAGAAGACACTTCACACCTTTGGGAACCTCAAGGACCAGTAGGGGAAGATGCAAGTAAAAAAATGTGACACCATCAGATAGGCTAAGATAGAAGCAGTAACAGAGTGCTGTGGTTGTGCTGTTATAAGCATATTATGTGTTATATATTGTCTCATTTAATCCTCATAATGACCTCGGGAGGTATTATTACCCCCTTTCTATACATGAGGAAACCAAGGCAGAGTGGTAGAGAAACTTGTCAAGATCATACATTAAGGGGAAGAGTGAAATTTAAACTCAGTAAAGCTGGTTCAGAGATTATGCCCTTAGCTATTGGTCTACTGCCCAGAAGAGCAGAGACCAGGCAGAATAGGGGACAGTAGGCATGTCAGGTGGAGGAGGCTGCTGTGCATCCATGAACTTTCTGCAGGGGTGTAGAGCATTCGTGCTTTGGAATTACGAGATGCTCATTGTGATTGGCACGTAGGATTCCAGGACTGTCCCAGGATTTAGCTGGTAATCCCAGTGGAGTTCCTATCATATTGGTTATAGGTCTTCATTTACTACTTGGAAGAATACATGAGCTGGCCCATGGGATTGGCGTAAGTTGAGGAGGATGTCAGGAACCCAACCAGGAAAGCTGGAGTTCAGTCCAGGGTACGGTTTCTGCAGGGTATACAGGATTCTCACATAAAAATTAGGCAGAATTCCAACTGTGTGGAAAACACAGGTTGGGAAAAAGTTGTAAGCAGGTGTGAGAGTCGGGCAAGGGTATTTACATGTCTTACTTGTATGTGTGTGTGTGTGTGTGTGTGTGTGTGTGTGGGGAGTGGGGGGAGGGTTCTCCTAATCGACTTCCTATTTTGGTCAGGCACAATCCAGAAACTGGGTAACACCAAGCAAGCAATCTTAGATGCCTGTCCTTAGGGACATCTAACATTCATGTACCTGTTTCTGTGTGGACATGTGTTTTCTTTTCTCTTGGTTATTTACCTAGGAGTGGAATTGCCAGGTCATGTGGCAACTCTGTATTTAATCATCTGAGGAGCTGCCAGACTGTTTTCCAAAGTAGCTGGACCATTATGCATTTCTTCCAACAGGGTATGAAGGTTACCATTTCTTTGCATTCTTGATGACACATGTTATCTGGCTTTTTGATTCCACTCATCCTAGTAGTAGTGCCGTAGTATATCATTGTGCTTTTTATTTGTATTTCTAATAATGTTTAGCATCTTTTTATGTACTTATTAGCCATTTGTATATCTTTTTGGAAAAAATGTCTATTCAGGTTCTTTGCCTATTTAAAAAGAATTTTTAACTATTAAGTTGTAAGAGTTCTTTATATATTCTAAGGCAAAAATACAGTAAGGGTAGTTGGATCAACCACCTATATACCTAGTATTAAGGTTAAAAGACAAAACTAGTAAAATCATATAACTATAAATAAAAATTAATAAATACACATATACACACAATAATTAATTAAGGGATACACAAAGTAAAAATATGTTAAAGGTGGCATCAAAAACATAAAATGAGGGGGTGGCATAAAAATGTAGTGCTTTTAGAACCTGCTCAAACTTAAATGACCATCAACTTAAAATAGATAGCTATATACATATGTTGTTATAGAAGAACCTCATGGTAACTACAAACCAAAACCTGATAATAGACACTAAAAATAAAGAGGAAGGAATACAAACGTAATATTGAAGAAAGTAGTCAAATCAGAAGGGAAGAGAGCAAGAGAAGAAGAGAGGAACAGAGAAGACCAATGAAAATAACCAGGGGAAAAAATTAACAAAATGGCAGTAAGTACATACCTGTCAGTAATTTCTTTAAATGTAAATGGACTACACATTCCAAACAAAAGACATAGGGTGGCTGAATAGATACAAAGGCAAGACTCATATATACACTGCCTGTTAAGAGACTCACTTTAGATCTAAAGGCACACATAGACTGAAAGTGAGGGGATGGAAAAACGTATTCCATGTAAATGGAAATAGAAAGAAAGCTGGGACAGCTTTTTATTTAAGCATATTTAAATTAAACTTTAAAACAAAGACTGTAACTAGAGCAAAGAAGGACATTACATAATGATAAAGGGATCAATCCGACAAGAAGATATAACACTTGTAAACATGTATGTACCCAACATAGGAGCACCTAAATACATAAAGCAAATATTAACAGACATAAAGGGAGAAATTGACAGTAATACAATAATAGGGAACTTTAACCCTCCACTTACATCGATGGATAGATCATCCAGACAGAGAATCAATAAGGAAACACTGGCATTAAATGGCACATTAGACCAGGTGGACTGAATAAATATATATAGGACTTTCAACCCCCAAAGAGCAGAATACACATTCTGTTCGAGTGTGCTTGTAATATTCTGCAGGATAGATCACATGCTAGGCCACAAAAAAAGTCTCAGTAAATTTAGGAAGATTGAAATCATATTAAGCATCTTTTCTGACCACTGCATATGAGACTAGAAATCAACTACAAGAAATAAAAACTGGAAAAATACCAAATATGTGGAGTCTAAACAACATGCTATAAATATTTAATGGGTCATTGAAGAAAAAAAAAAGGGAATGAAAGTATCCTTTGAGACAAATGAAGATAGAAACACAGCATTCCAAGATTTATGGGACACAGCCAAGGCACTTCTAAGAGGGAAGTATATAGCAGTACAGGCTTACCTTGAGAAATGATAAAAATCTCAAACAATCTAACCTTACACGTAAAGGAACTAGAAAAAGGGGAACAAAGCCCAAAGTTAGTACAAGTAAGGAAATAATAAGAGTGGAAATAAATGAAGTAGAGATGAAAAAAGCAATGGAAAAGATCAATGAAACTAAGAGCTGGTCCTTTGAAAAGATAAACAAAATTGTTAAACCTTTAGCCAGAGTCATCAAGAATAAGAGAGGGCCCAAATAAATGAAATGAAAAATGAAAGAGAAGTTACAACTGATACCACAGAAATACAAAATATAAGAGATTACTATGAAAATTTATACGTCAACAAATTGGACAACCTAGAAA